TTTATACACTCATTTGCACCCAAGAGCTTTCTTACCTGGCGGAAGAGACTCCATAACCCAGGTGTGATTATTTTCAAGAGCTCGAATTTCATTCTGCATAGCCTCGCGCCAACCAGTATCAGACATAGCCTTTTTAAAAGATTGAGGTTCACGACCTGCAAGTAATGCTCCAAGAAAACAACGATGGCCAATAGAGTACTTGTCACATTTTACATAATCAGCTATAGGGTAAGGAGTACCTGAGGGGCTGACGGAGGAGGTGGGCGACGGGGATGGGCTCAATGCATGTAGATGATGTGTGATGAAGTCTCGTAACAACACCGAGGGGCGTTTGGAACGCAAACCCCTGCCAAGAGCCACAATGTCGGACTGATCATGAGCTTAAGTATCAACTGGAGGGACGGCCGATTGCATGGCAGTGGGATCGGGATCATGAATAAACTAGGAGGAGGTCATAACACCGGTGTCATGCGTATGAGATTCTTGGGACGAAGGAGTCTGAGCCACAAATGGGAAATCACCTTCGTGAAAAATCACATCGCGAGAAACAAATATTTCTCCCGTGATCCAGTCCAAACTTTTCCACCCCCTTTTTCCATGAGGATACCCCACAAAAACCCCCACGTCGGCTTCGTAGGAAAAATGTGTTTTCACGAGATTTGAATTGGTATTGTGAGCAAAACAAAGGCATCCAAACACACGTAAATGAGAAAAATCAGACGGAGCCCCATTAAGAAGCTCACAGGGTGTCTTCCCATCCAAAATGCCAGACGGGGTCCTATGAATAAGATGTACATCAGCGAGTACACATTCTCCCCACAATCTGATAGGCATATGAGCCTGAAACATCAATGCTCGTGCCACATTTAAAATGTGGCGGTTTTTGCATTCCACTCTCCTGTTTTGCTGGGGTGTGTGACGCATGAGGTTTGAAAAAGAATACCATGTGCATCAAAATAAGACAACATGCATTTAAATTTGGTCATATTGTCACTTCACACAATTTTGACAGACACGTCATATTGTTTCTCAACCATAGCAATAAATGACAGAAGAAATGGATGAACCTCCTTTTTATCACGTAAAAATAAACCCACACAACACTGAAAAATCATCAACAAGTGTAAGAAAATAGGTTGCATCACAAGTAGACTGTTAGAACCGGAGGATAACAATGGTGAAATATAAGGGTATAAAATATGGCTAAACCGGATATCACTTCTAGTCACGTATTGAATACGTTTTCCTAAAAGTTTACTATCTACCCTTATCACAGTGACCGGGTTACAAGATAGAACTTTTGGGATAAAAAGAAGGTGTATGGTGTATTTTAGTTACCGATAAAATAACGCCGAACAAGTGATTTGTATATATAGTAGTCTAAATATTCTATCACTATTACTGCAGTTAATAGAGATAAAACAGGACAAGATGAGATGTGAGAAAAATGCTAATCGATTTTTCGTACATCCAGAGTTCAACACGATCCAATATTTATAGATTGAGAAACTTCTCTTACAAAAAGATGTAACCGTTCGAAAATATATGTACGTACACATCCAAAAGGCTACTTGGCCATTACCAATAACCGATAAGAGATAAACGACACACATTACTTCATGTGTACATACGTACACGTTGGTACACATACAAGTATATACTAACAATTTGATAAAAGTCATAAGTAGTGCACTAAATATGTATTATGTACGTACATAAAAGTTGGCATAAAATTATGTAACTTTAATTTAATTATTATTAATAACGAGACCACAATTTCACATGACAGTAAAATTGTTCTCATATTTATAATAATAATATTTTTCAATTAAAAGAGAATTTTTAATACAAACTTATTATTTAATTAAAATAATACTTAAGGATCATACATGTTGAACACTTGAGCTATATTTCTCAATAAATTCCAACATAGACGGGGTCTTATACGGACCCCACAAGTCACAATGAACGAGTTCAAATATTCTACTGGTTTTATTAGTACTACTAGGGAAGGAATCACGAACTTGCTTTGCTTGTGGGAACACTTCACAAGTTTTATTTAATTTTCTCTGAGAAGAACTAGAAATAAATGCAGGTAATAACTTTAGAACCCGATCAGAAGGATGACCCAACCGGCGATGCCACAACTCAAACTCCGATATTGATGCGGATGCCTGAACATTATGCAAGACCGGTACCTGTCTGAAGTAAAATAGCCCATCCCGTCGTTCGCCGGCTCCAATCAGGTTCCTCGAGGGCAGGTCCTGTATAGAACAAAGATTATTAGTAAAAGAGACAAGACAATCAATATGATTCGTTAATTGGGATACGGAAATAAGATGACAACGAAGTCCCGACACATAAAGGACTTTGTCAAGAATAAAACCCTCGGCTAATGTGACTCGGTCAGCCACGACCGCAGCCACCGTGCGCCCGTCCGGCAGCCCCATCGGACACGGAGGAATAGTAACGGGGTTTGTAAGGCAAGTGGTGTCTTTTGTAACATGATGTGATGCCTTGGTGTCAATAATCCATTCAAGTGAAGAATACATACCTGTCATCCGGTCATTAGAACGAGTATCGGCTTGAAGTAAATTTAGGAGAGCCTGCACCTGCTCGTTGCTCAAGGTTTCTGGCCCACTGTTATGATTGTCGCCTGCATTCGAGTGGAGGACCCTTTGGCCGCCGGCAATAGGGTGGTCACTACAGCATGCGTATGAACCCCTCCCCCCTCCACGGTCAGCCAGTGCGGTGCGCCTTTGCTTCGGTTCCGCTCTTCCCACCATTCCGGATATCCGTGTAGTTTAAAACACGTCCCGACCTCATGCCCTTTCTACTTGCAGTGTGTACACATGGGTCTTGGACGGCCTGATTTTTTCATGCGGCCCTTTGCAGTCCGGTCCATCTGAAAGGTGAAAGCGTGCACACCTCCCACTGCTGTGGTCTTTTCGCAAACAAAAGCCATGGAAGTCTCTTCCTGGAGAAACGCTTGAAGTGCGCGTTCGATGTTTGGCAACAGGTTTTGTGAGAAAAGATTGGAACGCACTGTGCCAAACAATTCATCATCAATTCCAACTGGGAACTGGTGAAATTGTTCCTCATCCCTCTTGGCTTCAATCTTCCCGACTATTGCACATGCAATTTGCACACGTGCACACTAGAAGCGACTTCAACCGGTATAATTCATCGTAGAGGCACATCAATGTCATATAATAAGCATCGACGTTCATAGTTTTGGTTTGCTTGCATGCCGAAATTGATGCCTTTAATTGCTGTAGCCAGGGTCCTTTCGCCACGCTGTACCGTTTTTCCAGATAAAGCCATAGAGTTCGAGCTTCTTCGTGAAACGACACCGAGGACACCACGGACGTACGGTTCCATGCTATGCAAAAGCCAGGATACCACCATAGAGTTGGTAGTTTCCCAGTCGGATTGTCTGGCCGCTTCTTCCGGCCTTTTAAGTGTACCGTCAACGAACCCGTTCTTCCGCCGAGCTTTCAACGATAACAAGATAGCACGTGACCAAGCCACGTAATTATCCCCTTTGAAAATCACATGCGTTATAAGGTTGCCCGGTTGATCTCCGGAGCCAAGGTAATAAGGTGGTGTAATATCCATCATGTTTGCTATCTGCCAAAACACGCTGGTGCCTAGCGTACGACGAAGAGCGGTGGAAGGTGAACGACAAATGAACGCCTACTCGTCCGAATTCTCTGATACCATGCTAAAAGAAGGGATGCGGTAATCGAAAATAATAATACGGAGTATTGGGTTTAATTCACCCGTATCTTATATCATCATCTATATGAAGTATCTATACAAAGTTAAGTACTAAGAATAGGGTTAAAGAAAATCTATACAAAACCCTTAGCCCATAATATATACACTCGAGCCCATATACACGGCTACCACTAGGGATGGACTCGGGCCGGGCGGCCCGACCCGGAACCGGCCTGGGCCGGTTACTGTTGAGCCCGGCCCGGCCCGGGAACCGGTGGGCCCAGCGGTTCGGGTCGAACCGGCCCGGCCTTTGGGCGGTTCGGGCTCGGGCCTATGTTTTGGTGAACCGGCCCGGCCGGTTTGGGCCCGGTTCGGGCTGGAATTTTTTTTTTTTTTTGAAATTTTTTAAAGTTTTGGGTTGGATTAGGTATTTTGGGCCATTTGAGGTGGTTTGGGGTGGAGGGGGAGGGGTAGGGGGTTAAATAAGAGAAGAAGAAGAAAAAAATTAAAAATCTGGGTGGCCTGGCCCGGCCCGGTCTGGCCCGGAACCGGACCCGGAACCGCCCACCACCGGTTCGGGCTCGGGCCTCATTTTTCTGAACCGAGGCCCGGCCGGGCCTAGGCCCGAACCAGCCCGAGGCCATCCCTAGCTAACACGGCTAACATGCTCCTATGAAGTGATCATACTCAAAGTATGATTCTAGGAGCTACACGGGCTTTGAGTTATTATGGGTCTAATTGGGACAATGGTTTTTGTTTCTTTTGACTTTTGAGTTATATAACGACTATGATTTATTATATCACGTGATTTCCATTAAAATGATCTGTTAAAAGTCTAAGGTGAGTTACTCAACATATAATATGGAGATTTTTTAGATTTGTGGCGCCCTTAAGTTTCTATAGAATTCCATATATTCTATCACATTCCAATAGAATTCAATGAGATTTATGACAATTCGAATATAAATGGCCAGATTTTGATAAAGATGTGTGTAGTGTTGTTTTATTTTAGGTTAGAAATGCATAAGAATCTACAGAAATCCATCCTTGATGGTATAAAGTAAGATTGAAGTTACTTTTCTAATTGTGTATTGATTGAAGTTACTGTAGAGGACAATTTTAGTTATTTTTAAATAATTTTTTCGTTATTTTATTAGTAAAATATATTTTTATTACCATTTTAGACATAATTTAATAAGTTTCAACAGATCAACTAATTAATTGTTATAATGACTCCATTGCAACTGGGCAGCTTTGGGAGTTTATTTAGCCCAATTGCCAATTATTCATTTTCTTAGAACTCGAATCGGTAAAAAACGGAAACCACACCGCGGCGGGACCAGTAAAATTGCCTGGAAGCTATGAATAAGCTTGCGTTTCACTTTTGAAGTTGGAAGAATGGTCCCACGGTCGACCGACGATCAAATCAGGGGGGAAATTCTGTGAGCAAAAGAATATCGTTGAGTTGTGTATGAAGGAGTAGAGGAAGCAGAAGATAAGTTTATGGATCGAGTAAAGGATTAGCAGTAACGATACGCATGCGGTTTACCGATTTGGGTTACAGAGAGGGACATGGGGAAGGGAAAATTCTCGCTACGGAGGAAGAAGAAGGGGGTGACGGGGACGCCACAGAGGCCGCCTCGTGCAACAGATCACTCATCTGGAAACGGGAGCGGGAATTTGATTGCGCCGAATGTAGGGCCGAGCAAGACGGCGAAGAAGAAGGCAGGTGGCTCCAGGCTGTGGATGAGATTTGATCGGATGGGGCAATCGGAACTGATGGAGTGCGACAAGAGTTCAATCATCAAGCGCGCCTCCGTTCCTACTAGGGACTTGAGGATCCTTGGCCCAATATTCTCTCAATCCTCCAGCATCCTCGGTACCTAATCCCCCTTCTCTCTCTTTCCGTGAATACAATCTGTTTGACATTTTGATTCATTCAGCGCTTCAATGCAATGGGTAGTCCTTAAATTTGACTTCTTTCTATTCTCTTTATTATGTTACGTGTAGATAGCATAACTGAATAGCAGCAGACCTGTTCTCTTATTGCAAGTGCCCGTACATTGAAATCAAAGACATCTAAGCCTACGGTGGGGGGAGCTTTCAATGTTCAATCAGGACCTCCAAGAAAACATCAATAACTGCAGGTCCAGTAGAGGCAAACAAACCATGTTTTCTCCAACGAATCATTATCGCTATGAAAATCTAGCTCACGAAAAAGATATATTTGTCAATATTATGAACGGAAGTCAAAACGAGCCGATCCTATGTATCACCCGATTACAAGGTCATGGCAATAAAGCAAACAGTGTTCAACCAGAAGCAGATTAATAGCTTAGCACTTAACAATGCAAAAGCAAATATTTGATAAATACCCAATCTCTCTATCATAGATCTGCTGTAGAGGTTAAATTTCATACCTATTGATAGGAAGTGAATCTAAAAACACTTCTTTGAAGATCCAGAAACTCTGTATTTCAGCTTTGCAGAATCCGGAAGGACTAGTCCTCACTGAGGAATCTTGAAACAGAACCGACAATATTTCTTATGAAAGGAAAAAAGTCTAGAAAACCAAACCTTTAATCGTTTTCAATAACTTCAGATTCAGAGAAACTGAAACCGCTGTATGTATATATCAGAGCTAACTCCTCCGTTTTTCTTCCCAACATAGCTCTCTCTCTCTCTCTCATGCATGCACTCAAAGATACATAAAAATGGACAGACTACGTGCGCATGGGGCAGTTCCTATCAGGTGTGCCTCATAGGATTCCCATCAGGCACACTATGTTTTTTGCCCAAAATTTAGTCAACGGTCCAGTTTTTTTTTAGCTCATCAGGATCAGCACTTAATGTTAATCGTTAGCTGAATTTTGAAATCCAGTCTTACTGATGATAAGACCAGTTTTACTAATGAATTCATCTTTACAGTTAGATAAAATGTGAAGGTGGAAAACTAAGCTCCTAGTGTTATCTTCACACAAATTGAAGATCTAACGGTTAAAAATTAATAGTTGATGCTAATGAGTGAAAACCTGTTGATTTTTAATAGGCCAAATGCGGAGTTCGCAGGATGGAAATCCTATCGGATGCGCCTGACTCAAACACCCCTTTATGTGTGTGTGTGTGTGTATCATGACATCTATACAGTGTGAGATCGTTATATAGGTACTACCATAGCATCGTTATATAGGTACTACCATAGCACCATGAACATGTTCTACAACAAAGAATATCCCGAAGTTATTGTCTAAGATCGATAGCTGCTCCACACATTCATTAAATTCGTGTCAAAAAATGTTTTTGCACAACCTCTGCTGATTCTTTCATTGCATATACGTGATTTGCGTAGCTAATGTGTTGACATCAGAGTTCTTATTGATTTTAATGCAGCTAGGGAGAAGGCTATGATTATTAACTTGGAGTTTGTAAGAGGAATAGTTACTGCCGAAGAGCTGTTGTTGCTCGATCCTCTACGTCAAGAGGTTCTTCCTTTTATTGATCAGCTGAGACACCAATTGCCTCAGAAGAGTTCTTCAAAGAATACAAATGGAACAAATGATGTACAAGAGGATGACTTGCAATTTCCAGGTGCTGGAAAATGGCTACAAGAAACTATTGAAGGAGGCCTGCATGCTGAACAACTTCCATTTGAGTTCCAGGTGCTGGAGGTTGCATTAGAAGTTGTGTGTATGTATCTCGATTCTAATGTGGCGGAACTTGAGAGAGATGCTTATCCTGTTCTTGATGAACTTGCCATGAGTGTTAGCACAAGGAACCTTGAACATGTTAGGAGCTTAAAAAGCAACCTTACGCGTTTGCTAGCACGTGTACAAAAGGTATGCTTCTGTGACTTTTCTTTTTATATTAGAATGTGATACTCTCTCTCCCTTTCTCTCTCTCTCTCTCTCTCTCTCTTGTACATTGTTTATAAACAACTTCTTTGAAAAGAATGGTAAGCTGGTAAATCTGCAGAATGTCAGGACTATGCACAGTCAGACCTGAACCATAATAATAATGGATTGAATATACCCATTTGGACTCCAGAAATTTTAAGAAGTGTTTGCAAAAGCTTAAAAAAAGCACTTCTCGGCTTTTGACTTAAAAAAGCTTAAATTAGTGTTTTCAAACACCCGCTTCAGCTTAAAAAAAGCACTTTAAAGCTAAAAGCTGGAAGCTGGTATATACCAACTTCTAACTGCTTCTTGTTTTTTTTGTAAATAAATCAAACTTGAAGGTTAATCATAATGGTTAATTTTTCTGCACAACCCAAAATACCCTTCATCATTCTCTCGCATCCCATTAATCTGCGTCACATCTGTTCCTCTTCCCTCCTCCATCTTGCCATTCCCAGACATCCTTCGATATATATACATATATACACAACGTATACACACATACATATATAAATACTAGGTGTACCATTACTGATTCAAAGGACAATCGGCGGAATCCTCCTTCATCGGCAAAGAAATTGGGTAGTGTCTGGTTGCCTTCTATGCACATTCAATTCCAGGAGCTATAAATTAAAAAAAATGGGAGTCTTCTAATTTCGACCCAAAAACATTTCTTCGCCTGCAAAGAAATCGTTGACCTGCTATGGGGATGCTGCGTTTTTTCTCTAGTGAGGAGAGGCTAATTTTTTTAGGGTATAATTTATGTATGGGCATTTGTGTATTTTGACCATATCTCACGTAAAAAATCACTTTTTTATCAAACACTTCAACTTTAACTTTTTCACTTTAATCATTTATATTCTAAAACACTCTCAACTTTTACTAAAAAGCACTTTCTCTGAAATACTTAAAAAACACTTTTTTTAAGTAAAACTGTAAAAGCAATAGCGAACACTCCCTTAGGTGTGTGTTTGGTTTTACGAATAAAAGGCAATGGAAAATGAAATGTGGTTTTTTTTTATAATCTCTTTTCCATCATTTGCAATGGAGCCAAAGATTCGTCATTTTTTGGTTTGGGAAAATGATGGAATAAAGCAAAATGACTCATTAAACTGTCTGCGCTTCTTTATTACGTAGTATGAAGCAGTATTCAGTCCATGCGATTTTCGACCCGCTTTTTCACCTTGGATCTTCCGGAAACAGTCTCTCTGTGCTTTAGTACAGAGGTAAGGCTGCTTACATCCGACCCCCCCTTACCCCACCGTAGGTTGCGGCACTGGGGTAATGATGATGATTTAGATTTTTTAATCTTTATATTATAGAAATAGATAAATATTTAAAACTCAGTTTGAACAAATATAAAAAAAGAAAAGTACTACTGAGTTTAAACTTGGAACAAATCACACTTTCTATCCTTCAAAATCACACCTATATTTTCTTTTCCAAGCATTTTGCAAGTTCCAAACAGACGCTAACGTTCAGAAAAAAAAAATGTCACTGTCTGAGGCACACCATGGCAACTTCTAATGATCTTTACTTGGTAGTTGGTGAGCTGTCTAAGGACGAACAGATACTTTACTGGGTCATATACTACTGCTTATGTCAATGTCTCACATTGGTCTTGTATAACCTTTGTGTGCTAATTGAGAGTAGTACTTGTGATGGTTGGTAGGTCAGAGATGAGATTGAGCACCTTTTGGATGATAATGAAGACATGGCCCAGTTGTACTTAAGTAGGAAATCGATTCAGAATCAACAATCTGAAGCAATGCTATTGGGAACTGCCACTACAGGTTCAAATGCCATTACTCCCATGGTGCCGAATTTCAGAAGGTTAGGTTCCACCAGGAGTGGAAGCTTAGTGAGCAACTGCTTAGATGATGACGTGGAAGATCTTGAAATGTTGCTGGAGGCTTACTTCATGCAGTTGGAAGGCACCCGTAATAAGATATTATCTGTAAGTATTTCTTCGGTTTTGTTGTCTTGTTGGGCATAATCCATACTCCCGAGTCCCGGCCCGAGTGGCCAGCAGTAACTTACTGTGAGTTTGGTTGTCAAAAAACCTCAGGTGCGCGAATACATAGATGACACAGAGGATTATGTCAACATCCAATTAGACAATCAGCGGAATGAACTGATTCAACTGCAGCTGATATTGACCATTGCATCCTTTGCCATAGCCGTGGAGACCCTTGTAGCGGGTTGGTTTGGCATGAACATCCCTTGTACCCTATACAACATACAAGGGGTATTTTGGCCATTCGTTGCTGGTATCACAACTGCTTGTATCATTCTCTTCTTCATCGTCCTAGGCTATGCCAGATGGAAAAAGCTGCTTGGATCATAAATTTGGTTCCTTCATTGATCTCTCATTTCTTTTTCTTTTTTTCTTTTATGTGTTTGTATTATATACTTAGTATGAAATAATGACATAAGTAATACAATCAGCTTTTAAATGGACAATTGTAGGACCATTTTTATTTGGGACAAAGAACTATCTGAAAATGATAGCCAATATCTACAATGTCCCAACTTGTCATCGTGAACCCTAAATCACATACGCATCCAAAGTTCCATTTCCTTCTTTGGCTAGCCGCACTGGGAATTCAAGTGGAGACTCCAGCGCCAGGCGACGAGAACGATGAGTGAAGGCGGAAGGGACTTAATCGGCCAAGATTCCATCGGCGATGAAGTTTCCTTCATTCTCAATGCTTGGTTGTGGATGAACAATTGCTCTCTGAAGCAGCAACACCGAACCCTTTTTCGCTAAATCTGATCAGAGGATCGTCGTCTTCGATGGAGCCCCGCCATTGTAGGAGCACACGGTAGATGTTGGGTCGAGAGCAGGCATCAGTGACGGGGGTTTGGGTATGGTGGTCACAGGTAGTGGTGGACGGAGGTCTTGGTCGGATGCGATGGCGGTTGGCAGTGGAGAGAGGTGGGTCACCGGAGGTACGTGGTGGTTGGCAGTGGTGGCGGGGGTGGTTGATGGTGGTACTCACTATAAGATCAGATAATCGTAAATGGGTGGATTACGTAATTGTAAGTCTGTAATTGGTTGGATTAGGTAATGTAATTTATCGGGTTGAGTAACTGTAACTGGTCGGATCACGCAAGTATAACTGGTCGAAATGGGAAAATGTAACTAGTCGGACGGGTAACTGTAAGTGGGCAGATTGAGTAAGGAGCACAAAAGAGTCACACAAGTCTTTTTTTTTTGAAATATTTAAAATTAGATTGATTTCTGTCCATGAATTTCAGTTTAGGCTAAACGGTTAAATAGGCCATCGTACATATCCAGTAAGCTCAATTCAGTTCTTGAACTAAAAAATGTTCAGATCGTACCCTGAACTAGAAAAAAGTAGTTCAAATTTCAGTTGTAATGGGTCACCATTTGGTCACCCTCACGTCACCGGCCAAGTTGCCAACTGTGCATCTAGCTTCGAAACTGAAAGCTCAAATAAGTCCTTGAACATGTTCGGATTGTTCAATTAACCCACTCAACTTTTAGAAAGGTTCAACATTGGAATAAATTCAAAATAAATTTAAAATAAATATATAAAGTTATAAGATAGAGTATAAATGTATATGACAAAAATATTTATATTTTCCGATAAAATCAAAATATAAATAAAAAGTATATAAAAAAGATGAAAAGATAATATACGCATATTTGTATTTTAGTTCTTCCATTTCTCACATTAAATTTTATTTGTGAATTTTAATTTTATTTATATTTTAGTTGCGACACTTTTCTATTTTCCCAACTCAGGGTGTGAATTGGATATTTTTTCAATTTAGGAACTGAATTGAACTTACTCAACAAATAGAAAGACCGGTTTGACCCTTTAGCTTTCCATTTAATAATATTAGTGTCAAAACCCCTCCAATCATTCCATGTGCAACTTACAGATTCCCATGTCTTGTTTTTGTTCTATTATTTTCGGAATTCTGAGTATGATTTCTTTTAAAGTGCTATAAAGTGTGTGTGATTTAAATATAGAAAAAATAAAATAAAGAGAATAAATATAAACAACAAAATTACTTAAACATTAAAAAAGGGAAAAGGGGCAAATAAGCCCTCGAACTAATAAAAAAAGTGCAAATAAGCCCTTTTGGAGGAGGTTCCGTCCGGCCATCGTCATTTGGGGAGGTTCCCGGTGGAATTTTTCGATTAATTTTTTTGAACATCTTATTCATTAAGTCTAGTTTAGTCATACCGAATTTCAGCTAAAAATTCAATCGGGAAGACAGTCAAATGAATTTTTGAAGATAATTGCGCAGTTAAACAACGCAGTATATTTCCAAAAATCATTTGAGTGCCTTCCCGGTTGAATATTTAACTGAAATTTGGTATGGCTAAACTAGACTTAATGAAGAAGATGCTCAAAAAAATTTATCAAAAAATTCTACCGAGAACCTCCCTAAATGACGATGATCGGACACAACCGCCTACAAAAGGGCTTATTTGCACTTTTTTGATTAGTTCGAGGGCTTATTTGCCCCATTAAAAAATAAAGGTGGGATTCGTAAGAATAATCTCTGCTTTTAGAGATTCTACAATAATAATCCACACTGATAGTGTCTACAAAAATAACCCGAACTAGAAACGATGTGCATAAGAATAATTCAAGGTGAATTCAAATTAACACTCCTTTAATACCCTCAATCCTTACTATCACTAAAATCTGTTTAATCTCAACATCATTTTCGTCATATGTGGTTCTCTCTATATTGGAGCATAATTGAGACGAAGAGTGGTGAAGGGGAAGGTGAATTCACTCTAATTTATTCATGTGGACATTATTGCTAGTACAAATTACTTTTATAGACACTCTAAGTAGAGATTGTTATTATAAAATCCATATAAGTATGAATTATTCTTGTGAATTTCGTCAAAAATAAAAATGTAAAACAATTATAAAAACATTAAAAACAAAATGTTACACTTTACATTTTGGGATGTATTTTAATTTTTGCTATACTTTTTTTCTTTTTGATAAGTTTTTCCTTTAAAAACACTCAGTTACCCTTACAGTTTTCTATTTTAATTCTTTTTCTTTCATTTTTTTCACATTTTCTCCTACTTTTTTTACACTGTTGATTACATTTATTACTTTGGAAATTTTTATCGTGCCTCATTAAATAGGTGAGTAGTAGGGGTGAATTGACTCGGGCTATGAACCCGACAATAAACAGGTGAGGAGTAGGGGTGAATTGACTCGGAATGACACCATAATGACGCATTATGTCAAGAAGAGTAGGGTGAAGGGGAAACGGAGACCCATCTCTAAGCTAGCCAGATGAACCCCAAAATGGAGAGGGGAAGGGGGTTCGACAATGTTCTGACCCGGTGTAGGGCGAGAACAGACAACGGAAGGCCCAACAAGGTGAACTGCCTCGGAAAATTCAGCGCCCGAAATCGGAACAGCCAAAATCCCCCGAGCAAATTTGGCGGACAAGAAGAAGTGGGTTTCGAATCCATGGGACTCCACCGGGATCGGGGGATGGCTAGAGCCAAGCCCCTCTTCTTCTGGAGGAATAGAACGAGAAGGAATGGTATGAGAAGACGACATGAGAACTGACCTGAGTAGGGTTTAGGAAGTTCGAAGCAGACGACGGGAGAAGGGCCTCCTAGGGTTTGCGAGCAAAAGCTTCAATGGATTTTATGGACGAGATGATTAAAAAAAGGTTTCTTTGAGGGAGGAACACGTTTATATAATGGTGATGTGATAACCTCTCAAGGACCACTTGGAAACCGGCGTAAGGTTAATTGAGTGTTGCAGCCGAAAAGACAGGCTTGGAACTCGTGTAAGCCCGGTTGGGTGGCGCGACAAATCATCAAAGATTCGAAAATTGAAATAAGGGCTCGTTACTCTCCTAAAATACAGCCCGTCTGATTTTAGAGAGTAGGTGGCTCGTGATGGTACCATGGATTACAGCCATGGCCCAAATACGAAATTAATAATAAAAACCCTTAATGGGATTAGATCATAAATGGGATCAGCCCTGAACAGGGATTAGCCCTTAACGGGATCAGCCCATCGACGGGATCAGCCCTTTATTCGGGATTAATATTAATTAGCCGCTAGTCCTAATTAGGAATCGGACCCACGAAAGGATCAACCCACAACCAGGTCGGGCTGGACAGCAGACCTCGAGCCTGGGCGGAGTTCTAGTGAGGTCGGACTCTTCCTAGGGCTTATGTGGCAGGGTATCATTCGCACATAGCTATCTGGCAGCGGCATGAATAACACGAGAAACGTGGAGAAACGTGGACCTGAGGGAAACAATCATTGCACAATGTGCGAGATGTTACAAGAGTCTATTTCATTTAATAGCATTTAATGTATCAGTTTCCTCCTAGAACATTAGTACCTAAGGTATATAAATACTTCTTGTACATATCTATCAAGGGACCGAATTCCGGATTAATAATATTGTCTTACGCTGCTTAAATTTCATTTGTTCTCGTAGATATAGCTCTCGTAATTGGATTAAACACCAACTAGTTTTGTGCCCGGGCGTTGCCCCGGGTGAAACTCCCATATGGTATGTACTCCGTATATTTTAAATATATCTTTCGTGTGAATTTTGTAATATAATTCTAATTGCCAAAATCATTGAAATATTTATTAATCCGATACAATATTATATAATATATAATAAAAAAAGAATTTAGGATCTGTAACACATTAGAATGATCGAAAGACATAAAAAATCGAAAGACTGTTTCTAAATTCTTGAAAACTTCACTATAGACAACATTTATGGTCTTGGTGAAAAACCCTGATCTTTAGAGCGAATCAAAATATTTAATTCTTCTTTACTCTTGATCCTTAGCTTGATATGGAAACATATAATTGACCATGAGTGAAGACGTTTTTCTTGAGACATAGTCCGGCTTGAGATAAAAGGCTAACCTTAGCTCTTGTTGATGCTCATCGCAAAACATACCACAAACGGAATTGCTTCCTCTGAAAACTAAAAAGGAATGTTACATCAAATGGAGATAACAACACTTTAGGAATGTGCACGGTGCCCATCATATATCCAAGATTAGTGAGATTTAACCTAGTTCCATTACATAATACCACCGATTGATCTATATTTTTCAAGAGCATAATGGGAGCACCAACCTTTAGATGTGATTCGTGACCAGGCAGTTCCGAGAGTGAGAGACTATTAAGAAATTCTGGTGTGTACTTGTCACTCTCGTGACACAAACCAATATATGGACTGATAATGCTATTTGAGCTGACGTTCATGACATTGTCACCAGGAACCAAAGATAGCATGTAGTCAATTATTTGGCGAACCACGTCTAAAGTAGGTGCAAGTATCGCTCTTTCATATAGGTAAGTTGGATCATTGAGACGTTTTTGCAGGTTATGATAAGTGCTATTAACGATAGCTGTTAGGTACTTATCTAATTATCTTATGCCTTGATAAAAATTCATCAATTACTTCCACTTGTGAAATTCCATCTACTTGTTGTTCAATATCACCATCCCCGACCTTTAAAATCCATGAACCTAACTTTTCAATGACACTCTTTTCATCAAGAGCAGTTGAAAGTAATATCATATTCTTCGTGAGACGCCGAAGTGAACAATCACTCCAAAGAGTTGATGCTCTTCCCCCCTTTGACTTGACCAACAAAATTTGCCGGAAGTATCCTCCAAGAACAACAACCTTCCCTCTGAACAGCCCATTTTCATTAAATAGGGTCACTTAGGCTCATAATGTCTTTCAAAGTTTTATCTAAAGCCTCAAAACAATGTTTGCGCACCATTGGTGCTTCGTCCCATATAATTAGGGATGTAGATTGGAGGAGCTTTGCCTTGGAACTTCCTTGATTAATATTACAACTGGAGTTTTCAATGATGTTCAGTCAAATAGAAAATCTAGAATGCGTTTTCCTGTCCCCAGGCAATAGTGACACCACTATTCCACTTCATGCAACTGCAAGAACAATTTCCTTCACGCCTAATAAATGTTGCATAGTATTCCACAGGAAAAAAATTCCAGCTCCATCATATTTGTAGACCAAGAAAAATCCTATATAAAAGAGTAAGTATGCTTCACTACGTGGCAACAATTTCATTGTAAATATATTAAAATCTATATATTTATTTTCAATTTAACCATGTCCATACTAACACATGGTTTGAAAAATAAACATTACATTTACCTCTGGTATTTTCACACACAGCATTGAGCATCTCCATGTAAATACGCTTTTGCTCATATATTAATTGGTCAATGAGATGCAAAAGCTATCGTGCTAAGTC